AGCAGCTAGATAGGAAGGGCAAGGGTCCTTGATGACTTTGAGAAAGTGACCAGAGTCCCCTCTGTAGTATCGCTGATTTTTACCTTGCCCCAGAATTATTTTAGCTTTTCAGTCCTCATCCTCAAAATGCTGAGTGGTGTCAGCAATGAATGTGCGCTCGTTAGATGAAGATCCTTGGGAGCAGACAGAGCGGGCGACCAGCCCAGGGCTTCCCTCAGATGAGTGGGTCTCAGTGGTTCTTTACTGAGTGGCCTGGGCAAGAGTGGACCAGACACAGAAGAAGTGCCACTGGTCAGATGAACGGAGGCAGAGCAAGTTCTGGGATCAAATGCCTGCTCTATTGGAGAGACGTCTAGGTACTGGTAGCCAAAGGCCAAGTCCCGGGTTGTCTCATCTCTGTCCTGGGAACCGAAGGCCAGAGGCTAGTCCGGAAGGCACGTGGAGGTAACATCAAATCCTGTCTTGAATTGAGGCACAATGCACCCTGGGAGGTGAGCATGGTTTCCATTTCCAGTTGACAAACAGGTAAAAGGGCACAAGATAACGAAGCTGGTGAGAAGACCGGATTTTGCATTCGGTCTCATGACTCCAAAGCCTGGTGGCCTTTCTTGGCCAGTGGGGAGCCCCTGACGTTCCCTGCACCCCTGGTTCTGACCACAAACGCTCGGGAGCTGCACGGCAGCGCCTCACCTGTAAAGACGGATGTAATCTGGGTCCAATGGACTGAGACAGAGCCGGGCGCATCGCTGCCTCTGCCCCAGGAGCTCGGGGTGGGGGGTGGGGGGCGGGGGTCCTCTTAGGCCTGTGCACTCTGAGCCCTCTGAGCTCCTCTCCCGTGTCACATTCTCTGAGGCTGCGGAGAGTGGCCCTGTGGCTGTACCCATGTCTCCGAAGGGTTAAAGGAGGGCAGAACGGAGAAGCCCAGCACCAAGGGCAGGGGCAGGCAAACCAGGCCTGACCGTGCTGAACCAGGGGAGGGACCGGGCCCCAAAGGAGTTTGAGAACTAACTGTACAGGGACAGCTTCCCATGGCCCTGACTTGGAACGCAACACCAGACAGCTGGCCCTGAGTCCTGCTCTGCGAGAATTCTGTAAATTCCTGGCCTCTGAGTCACGGTTCACCTATAAACCAATGAAAACAAATGAAATAACATTTATTTATGTATAGCATCCTCCATTTACTGCCTGGCACATGGTAGGCATCCAACCCCTAGTAGTAACGACAAGAATGTATTGGGTGCTGTGGTGAGTGGACTCCAAAGTGTCCCCCACATGATCCCCTCAGTCCCTCTTGATGTTCATGACCTCCTATAAGCCCCTCTCCCTAGATGGGGGCAGGATCTGGTGCTTGCTTTTAATCAACAGATGATGGCAACACTGACGGGCCGTCAAAGGCATCACTCCCATGACTGTGGGGGATTTCTCCTTCCACCACGCCCTCTCCTTCTCATTCTTTTGCTGGTTTAGAGGCAAACTGCACGGTGACTGAGCCAGCCTCCACTCGATGGCAGCAAATTTGAGTTTAGACAATGGACAGGGCTGTGTCACAACTGCCAAGTAGCCCGGGGTAAACACAGGTGCCGACAGGCGCTACTCATAGGAAGGGCAAGGGCTTAGAGCAAGTCTCCTGCACTGGGGTCACCTCATGCCCCACGCCTGGATGGGCAGTGGCCAAGTCTGAAGTTTCTCATTCTCTCCCCCAGACCAAAAGCTCAGAAAGTCTGATTCAAGACTGGGGCCCAGTGACCTACCAACGGCAGACGCTGTTTCTGGCAGTTCCTCTCCCAGACCCAGCCCCCAGATGCAATTTGCCCGTGACTGGACGGTCACGCTCACCTGTGTGTAAGCCCTGCATCTGCCACCAACCACGTGTAACCGACAGAAATGACTTTACCCTGAGGCTCTGCTGTCATCTTTGGGAAGGCAAGGCCTGTGATTTTCATTGTTCGGGGGAAATGGTGAGGGCCCCTGGCACAGAGCTCAGCCCGGGACAAAACTCCAACCAAACTGCCATCGAGCGAATCCCGACCCCTAGCAACCCTGCTAAGGTTTCTGAGACTGCAGATCCTGCCCCGAGCCCGTCCTTTCTCCCAAGGAGTTGCGAGTGGGTTTGAACCACCAACCTGGTAGTTAACTCACCACAACTTACTTACCAACAGCACCACCAGGGCTCCTTCCCCAGGGACTAGGACATAAAAAAATTTAAAAAAAGAGGAATGATAATAGAATCCTGCCTTCTCACCAGAAATAGAACTGTAGAGTGATCCCAAGCAGGGCTACTGGAACACTCCCCGGAAACTCCACCAGATGGCGCCACGGGCCAACTTTGAACAAAACCAATTCAACTCGGGTGTCCTGTCTTTGGGGAAGGGCTTGGAGGTGCAGGGAGATTGCAGACCCACCCAATGCTACAGGCAAGTAGGATGGGGCTCGGAAACCGGGCCCAGGCAGTTCTGGTATCATTTCCTGCCTGGACTCACCCCCAGCTTGCCCTGGAACCTCAAACCACACCAAACACTGCCATCAAGTGGATTCCCAGTCACAGTGGAGCCACAGGACAGGGTAGAACTACCTCTGTGGGTTTCCAAGACGGCAATTTAAAAAAAAATCATTTTAATGGGGCTCTTACGAATACGATAATACATCATTCAATTAGATCAAGCATAATTGTACAATTACTGCCACCATCATTTTCAAAACATTTTCTTCTTGAACATTTTTATATCAGTTCCCCTTTATCCCCCCACCCTACGCCCTAAGAGCACTATTACATATTATTTTGCTATATCTTACACCATCCAATGTATCCATTCACCTACAATTCTGTTGTTCATTCCCCTTGAGTGGTGTTATATAGTCATCATTGCTATCTGTCCCCTCTTCCCCACCTCTCTTCCCTTACCTTCAAGGAATCATTACTCCCATTACTGAAGGGTTTATCATTCCTTTTTTTAAAACTTATCCTTTTTTTATTTCTTTCAATAAAAAAACTTTAAGCATCCATGCAGATAAAATAATATACAGGTTATCAACATTTTGTTATAATTGTTTCATTTTTGTTTTTTCTATAGTACTTCAGATTCTGACACTGTCATGTCACCTTATTTATATATGTATCTTTAAAAAATATTTTTTAATAAGACCATAATTAGACCATTACTATACTCCAGTAAGTAGCAGTGATGGGGATTTTTTTATTATTAAATCATTTTATTGGGGGCTCGTACAACTCTTATCACAACCCATACATCCACCCATTATATGAAGCACATTTGTACATGTGTTGCCATCATCATCCTCGAAACATCTGCTTTCTACTAGAGCCCTTGATATCAACTCATTTCCCCCCCTCCCTCCTGGGTTTATCTTTCTTGAACTTGAGACTGTAACTCTTTATGGGAGTAGAAAGCCCTGTCTTTCTCTCGAGCCACAAGTGTGTTAGTTATAAATCCTTTGTGTCCACAGACACAAAATAGAGCTAACTGTGGCCCCCCCGCCTCCCGTTGTAAATTTCAAACTGTGTCATTGAGACAATCCCAATTCATAGGCTAGGCTGGTCTGCCCACGAAGAGTCAGGCCTTTCTCCCATGGGTACCCTGGTGGAAACCACCAAGCTTCCGGTTCACAGCCAAGTGTTCTAACCAGTGCCAATTCTGTGACAGAGGCGAGGTGCCAAGCACCCTGCAAGTTCTGGCAGCACAGCTTCTGTTGGGAGCCCTGGGTGGCAGCTTTGCTTCCTGTCCAACAGCTGCACAGGGGGCCCACTGAGGCCTCCCCTCGAAGGGCCTCAGGGTCTGGGACCAGTCAGCCACTCTGCCTCCCCAGCATCTCACAGTGGTTTGCTCCCCACACCCTGGCCTTCCAGAAGCAGCTCCCAAACCTGCTTCCCTCCCCCAACCATCAAATTCAGGGATCTGAGATGGTCAGAATGTCCTTGCCAGGGCACAGTCCCCAAGCTCACCCAACCTTTTTCACCCTGCAGGTCACGAGTCCTCACCCACCCCTTGTGGGGCCGACAGCTCCAGGCCTCCCCTACCAAAACTCCTGAGAAGCAGCGGTCTCCCCATCACCCCACATGCATGGAGGCCCCCACTTTCTGAGAAAAGCCAGCAGTGGCCTCAGGAAGTCAAGTAGCCGCTGGGGCCAAAGCCCCTGGGGAGGGGACCTCAACCTACCCACTGTCCCCGACCCCACCATTCTGGCCCAAGGACCCTTCTTCCCAAGGCCAGCCTTCAAATCCAGCATCTGAGTGAGCCTAGATGCTATCCAAGGACCAGGCAAGAGGCCCAAGTCCTGGTTTCCCCTGGACCCCCTCCCAGAGCCCTAACCCCACTGAGGAGAACTGAGAAAACCACCCCAGACAGTCTGGTGCCTACTGCTCTCCTGGTCCCCAAACCACCTTCCCCGGGTCCCCCAGAGCTGCGCCATCACTACCGATGTCTTCACAGGGACTCACCTTGCCCCCATTTATTGACTGAAACTCTCACCACAACAAATAGATGACAGTACTGGGACTTGCCCTCAGGACAAGGGAGCCAATGAAAACAAAGCCAGTACGAGAAAGTCTGGACCCTTCCCCGGCTGCCCTGAGCCAACGGCCCACTCCCCGCACACGCTCCAGAGGCGGCAGGACATGTCGGCACCTGCTGAGATATTCACTCTTCTTGGCACAGAGGGATTGGAAGAAAATGCAGGAGAGGGTTCCTCTCTGCCTCTGATTCTGTGCCGCTTCTTGCTGGCCACCCAAAAACACCTCCGGGGCCCAGAGTATCTATCGTCTGGTATTTGGGGAAGGCTTGCACGATGTCTCCCTCAGCTTCAGGCTTAAGACAGGGTGAAAACCCACAAAGGCCCGCCTCTGACCGCACCTTTAAGGTACTGC